ATACCAGGCCCAGGCCGCTAACAACGTAAGATCATTCAACCGTGTGTGATTGGGCTCGATACATATAGGCCAGTCCATACTGTATTTGGTCTGATCACTATGTTATCTTAAAAGTTCATCTGATTGAATCTTATTAGTTGATGTGAGGATCTCGTTGGTGGTGAGATTTGTAATCCCTCCCATAAATGTTCAAAGAGGTTGAGGGTAGTACATATATACACTGGCGGACCCAGGCATGCGCAAACGTCTGCAAGTGCGGACATAAAATTTTGGATTTTAGTTTTTTTTTCTTTGTTGTTGCCTTGTAGGTCCTTATTTGTCTTTTGGTTCAATATTTATTTTAGGAGTAAATATCATTTTAAGTCCCTAACAAAAAACATGGTCCCTACTTTAGTCCCTTACCAAAAATTAGTCTCGAGGTCCCTAAAAAATTCAAAGTGGATCAATTTATTTAAAATCGTGGTCCCTCACAAATTCAAAAAAGACCTACATTAGTCCCTCAAAAAGACTAAAATGGGTCCACTTTAAATTTCATAGGGACCAGGTGACTATTTTTTTTTTATAATGGACTAAAGTGGGGACCAAATTTTTTGTTAGGGACCAAAAATGATATTTATTCTTATATTAGTTAGCAACGTACGGAGATGATTAAAATAACTTAGCAACGCAAATTGATTAGAGAGAAAATTCATTCTTCCTCCACTGTTACATACCCATTCCCATGCTCTCTTCATCCTTTGTTTCCTTTCTCATTTTTATAAAAAGAGAGGATTGATTGCAGGTATGACATTCTCAAATAAGTTAATATCTAGAGACGAGACCTTCATTGTGATTTTGCTTGCCTTCTGTACAGGTAGTGTTGACTTTTTTATTCACCACTATAAAATAGAATGATGATGTATGGATGTACTGGAGTGTATTCTCATATTTGTTTTGGAGGATTGGTAAGATTTAAGAGGGGAAATAATTGGTCAAACTATTGTCTGCAGCTTGTTATGGAAACAACTAGATTATGAGCGGGTTCAAGCGTTAATTTAATTTTTTTTTTACAAAAAAAAATTTCAGGGGCGCTGCCCCCTAACCCCCTCCACTAAATGTGCAGACATAAAGAAATTTTCCTGGGTCCGCCACTGCACACATATATATATATATTTTTATTTATTTATTTTATGGAATATTAAAACCTTTTATGATGTCAAAGGAGAATATGAGTAAATTTTTTTTTTTTATAATGTTAATATTATTGATTATGTTACATGTATTAGAATTTGAGTATTTAGTTAATGATGTGTTGGGCCAAAAGAAATACATAATAATTAGATCAAAGAAAATTCCTTCGAATATTATATCTGTTCGCAGGCAGAAAATTATAATCTTTTTCCAGAATAATGAGTCTATTATAAAAAAATATTAGTTAAATATTTTAATCTATTAAAAAAATATGAATTTTGCATTAAGTCATGGTCAGTATATCAATACTATCATTGTATGTTATGTCATTTTCTATAATTTACTAGAATCACTAGATACCAAATTTTGATTTGAAATTTTTATGAAATGTAGCAGCATGAGTTTAGTTTATGTCAAAAAATAAATAAAAGTCAAAAGAATATCATGTGATAGAAAATAATTTTTTTTTTATTTTCCAAAATTTACTTTAATAAATTAAGAAGTTTTCCATGACATCAAACAACATTGAAGAATGGAATTGAAACTTCCCACTTGAATTTCTTGCTACCACCATTATTATTAGGCAACGACTCTTGAAGATTTTGGCCATAAATATGAGTCATTTAGAAGGTGTTGAGATGCAAGAGGGACTACAATCTAACGAGTTTCAAGCAGCAAAGTTTTTTTTCTTGCATAAGCCCAATTGAACTCGTGACTCTGCGGTTATTGAAGTTGTTGGAAGAGGACCTTTTAATGATTTATATTATTCTCGGTAACAAGTTACACCTTCGTTAGCAAGACTGTGAGAGTTGTGCTTCCACTCATATGTTAGTCCTACATGGAGAGGATCACAATTTTATTCACTCAGTAACCTAGAATAGTAGATGTTGGATCTTCAATGTTGTTTGATGTCTTGACAAATTTCTTAACTAATAGAAGTGTAGATTATCATTCTCTCTTGGACTAAGATAGGGCCTAGCCCATTAGAGAGAATACTTGGGTCAGGCTACATAACAAAACTCTAAGATAATACTTGCGTAAGATTGAAAGTGAAAACCTTTTAGGGGTCAAAAATGCAAAGGTCCTCCTCACCTTTTAATTTCTTATTTCTTATATTTTTGCAATGGCATAAGGATAAATACCATCTATTAACATTCAGTTGTTTTCCTTCTTTCTGAAGGTTGAATCAAGACATGGTTAAAGACTTACTTTCGAGGAAGCATCACCACATGATAGGATATAGAATTTGAGTTTTTGAGTAAATATTTTTCACCATCCAAATCCGCGAGGACTATAAAGGAGATTGACTCTTTCGCACATGAGGAGGGAGAACATTTATATCAAGGATAGGCTAGGCTTAAAAGATTATTAAAAAAAATGCGCAGATTACCTTCTTGAACACTTTTAAAGGGTTCACACTTTCTACAATGATCTATACTCATTTTTCAAGGATGATATTAGATATTGCAGTTGGAGGATCTCTTTATACCAAAATTCCTGAAGAACCTCTAAAGTTAATTGAGAAAGTGATTTACAATGAGTACCAAGCACTCTAAGCCAACCCAACAGTTGAATGTGAAGTAGAAGAAGAGTCATCAATTCTTGCTCAAGGGCACTGTATAGACAGTGCTCTACCCTTTTCACACAACCAAAATTATAACAACCACAACAAAATTTTCTCTCTAACTTGGAGAATGTTCTCTTGCAATTGACTAGAATGGCAGCATTAGTCAGGCAAGAGACTTTTAGTATAGATGTCCTAGAGTTAATCTTACTAGTCATATGACACTATGTATTTTGGCATGTTTATGAATAATATTAGAGCATTACTTTATCTATTCCATATAATTATCTCTTCTTGTTTGTATATTTGAATAGATAAAGGCCCTTGGGATAATTAAAGTGTACTTTCAAGGATCTATTATGAGATCATAATCATGAGGACTCACATACACTCTTTGATTATTCATTAAACTTGTTCCTAGTCTAAAGTTACCAAGAAAGGATATTGGTCGACTCAATTAGACTAGCATCACATCAAGTTATTTACATGGTGATATAAGTCACAGACCTCATAGATGCAGACTTGGAGATGTCTTAACTAATGTTATAAGTTGATTTGTTAGTGCAACAAATCTCACTTAATTGACCCGCCGAGAGACTACACAAATCTCTCGTTATTAGTGTCGATCATCCTTAGACTTGAAGTTTTCAACAAATATTATGTCTAAGCGTCATATTTTGATTTCATAATCTGCGAGAAATATGTTGAGAACAATATACTTTTGGGTATAACTTGAAGGCATGAGTATAGAAATTGGACAAGCCAAAATGATTTGCCATCTCTGTAAGGGATTAGTTATCCACAAGAGACCTGTGGAACTCGAATGACTTCTATAAGACTCGAGAATCTGTGCACAGTAAAGAAATCATGAAAGTGTTCAAAGATTTGCCTTTAGAGTTTATAAAAAAGTATTCTTAATTTTGGAAAAACTTTCTTTTGGTCATATAAGGGGTTGATACAATATCTTTGTTCTTGACCGAAAAATGGATAACGAGGTAAAGGGATGGATTGGCACAACAAACAAATGAGAAAGATAGATCACTTGATATTCCATTTAGTTTTGAAGCCACAAGATATTATTAGTACTCTGTTTGGTCATTAAATGAGTTGAGAATATTAGAGGAGTTTAATCGAACCAAGCTTATCTAATGGTTCACATTCCTGTATAGTGTTTAAAGGCATAGATGTTTTTGGGCCTATATTGGATAATATGGATTTTATATGATAAGATGAAGCAAAAATGATGAAGGCATGTGTTTATCACATATACTACATAAATGAAATATTAAAAGGTAGAAGAAAATATAGCAAAGGGATAAGTGAAATTTTCATAGTAACCGGAAGGAACAATATCCAACAGCGTCACATCTCAATTAACCATGTAGATCTTGTTGGAGAAAATAAATATGCTTGATGAGTAATATGCTTGCATTCGATGTACTTGAGGAGATAGAAACTTCTTCTTTCAAAACTTTATGTTTTAATACCTTGAACATATTTTAGAATATCAAGACAAAGCCGAAATTGATCGTATCAAAGCTAATGTTAAAAAAGTAGAAAAGAAATGTACAATATGTCTCCAAAAAAAAAAAAAAAAAAAAAGAAAGAAAGAAATGTACAATATGGGTTATGCAGACTTAACGTTTGATTTATTTATTTTTCCCCTTGAGCAACAGGAACGTATCACTCAAGGGAAAGAGACTTCCTTAAGTCATGAAGACATGTTGTCATGTACTCATGTTCTCTAGATTTGTTACCTCTGCTAAAATACAAAAGCCCTAAAATATTTTTGAACGTAATACAATAGTCGATCAGATTTGCAAAACAAGTTTTCTTGGTTGAACGAGTGAAGCTACGCGGTTGGGATGATTTTATAACAAGGATGATTTGCAAAACTGATCAACTTTTATATTAGGTTTAACAAATTCCAAGCATTTTTGTATTTCAGCAGAAGTAACAAATCTGAAGAACATGACTGAAAAGCAAAGCACCCCTGGAGCTGCAACATGACGAAGTTATGAGGGATCCTATCTTGAATGGGGAATTTATATTTCATATAGTAGACTATTTGTTAACAATATGGATGGACTTCTAAATCATGTGGAAAGTTGAACACACACACAAGCATCCTAGTACATTACCTAGGACATGATATTTTTGATATTGTTACCTCTAAAAGATAAAGAGCTCTAATAGAGAAGAGGAGAGAAAAGAGAAAGACAAGTGAAAAAGATAGAAAGCTTGAGAGTTCAGAGTATTGGTTGAACTTATCAGAGTGCTGTTCTTACATAGAATTTGCATCAAGCTCGATTGGCTATTTTGCAGTTAAATAAAACAAAAAATAAAAAAAAAGTAAAGGAAAAAGAATTTTTTTACAACCATTTATATAGAACAAATGCTTTCACAACAATTCCAAACATATTTGCTTTAGGCTTGCATAAAACGTTCCCCTTCTCCAAAAAGCTTAAGACATACTACGGTAACTTGGTACGAAAAATCTCCATATATCATCAGTCAAGACATGCAAGAATTAGCAGCTAGGACAAAACCCTGCCGAATGCAAAAGATGGCAATACATAATCATGCTTCCTCAGCTCGCTCTAAACTTCCTCACCCCATAATATGCATTAATGCCTTCATTTTTTCAGCCAGGAGATTTGAGTATCAATCTTGGCAATACCTAAGTTTCTCTCTATAGTGCTTGATCAGCACGAAAGAGATATCAGCTGATGGATTATAAAACCTGCTTATAAACCTTAGTTGTTATCTCCCAGCTTAAATATGCAGTTGCAGAGATAAAAACAATATAAGGGCAAAGTGACCAGCTTCTTTTTCTGCATCAACACTTGTCACACAACAGGGAGATATGACACTTCTTAGAAGAAGAGTTTTACCAGTTAGAGTAAATTGCAGCTCATCAATCAATTTCTTTTGAATTTCCTTTTTAACTTGGGTGATTTAGAAGCTCGTATAGGTATATGAGAAGCTGCTTTATCCTTGTCTGTACTTGTCAGATTTACCTTTCTCTTCTCACCACCTTCGGTAAAACTTTTGTACCCATTTTTGTTGCCCTTTTTACTTCCTTCTGACCTTCCTACATTTGATTTTTTATATTTAGAATGCCTACTTCTCTTGGCTCTTAATTCATCAATACTCGTAGACTTAAGGGTTTCATTTTTGCTCGGCAAGTTTGTCTCAAATTTCTTCTCCCTCTTTCTCTTTTTATGTCTAACGGAATCCTTGTCTTGGGAATCTGAACTTCGGGGCTTCCTCCACTCTAGCCTACAAAGAAAGAAAAAGAGAGAGAAGAAAGGACTCTAAATAAGCTTCCAGGAGACAATAAATCAACTTGCGATCATTTTTTCATAAGCAATTAAATCATACCCCTTGGTAGATGAATCTTCGGGCATATTTTCTGCATCATTAGTGACTGCTTCACTTGATTTGCCATGTCGATTCTGCAAGTCAATAGATAACATAATAGAAATTTATATCAAACGTGTAAAATCAGTAAGAAGTACACCATCTAAAAATATTACAAAGTCCAAGTATGAGCTTGAAAGTAATACGAAATGCAAAGAAAATATAATTTTCCATCATTAACAATTCATAATAAACATTCTTTTTGCCACTGAGTTCACTTAATAGCATGGATATTTTTGAAAGATCTGATGGAATCACAATATAAATGTCAATAAAAACCTAAAATGTAAAAGGGCAACATAAAAAGGAGAGTTAAAAAAAACTAATATATATATATATAGGCAAAATGATTTCTGCAGCTGCAGTACCTACAACAAGCAAGGATCCGTGTCCGGATCCTAGGATACGGCACCGAATCCTTAGTTTTTTTTTTTTTTTTTTTAAAAAGTCGTGGGGCCCACTTTTTTGTGTCAGCTGTAGATAACACTATCTACGGCAGCTGCAGAAATGTTAAGCCCATATATATATATATATATATATATATATATATATATATATGGAACACTAATCATGCTTTTAGCTTTCATAAAGTGGGGATTTGATTTCCCTTGACAGTACATATTTTAAATTATCAATTTCTTCAACCAAATTTTCTAGTTTCAAATATATACATATACCTTGAAACAGTTAACGTGTAGCAGGAAACAGAAGTAAAAAAAAATAAAAGTTGGAATCAAATGGATAGCAGGTACACCTTTTGCCAAAATTCACTAAACAACAGAAGTTGTTTTATTTTTGGTACTGAAGAAAAATGTGGCTTATTGATTGTTTAATGCCTTACTTCAGAATTTTCATCCTTAAAAATAAGGATAATCATTTAAAAGCTCAATCTTGATTTGAAATTTTTAGCCCCAATGTTTCTAACTTTCATGCTTTTGCATCCAACGCTGTAACATATGGCAAGGCTCAGACCAAACTTAAGGCACATTACCATCATAGTTCTTTAGGTAATACTAAAAGGAGTACCTCTAGAACTGTCTTGACAAAACCCTTATACTTCTCGGGAGTAACCAGTTTGACAGCAGCAGAACCACACTTCCGTAATAATATTTCAAATATGACAGTGACCTGTAGAAAACCCAGAACACATAACTCTTGGTCTATCAAGTATACGGATGAATGAGTTTCATGCAGCGCAGGTATATCTATTTACGCACATGCCACACATGTTTAGAAGCTTAACATTAGATATTGTACATGCCTTTGATCTAAAATGATGTCTTGAAACAGATGACCAGGGGAGGATTTCAGTAACAACATCTGAGAGAATATTCTGCAACTCTTTTGCTTCAAAGCAAGACACCATCACTTTAACAAAGCCCAAGACAGCCTGTTATAGATGTAAGATTAAACTCAAAACAATGATAGAAAGGTCCTCAAACAGATACCCAATCTCGGAAAAGGAGAATACTCACTTTTATGATTTCCACATCTTTGGTTTGCAGCAAAGATAAAAGAGAAGAGACGAGATCAGAAACGGAGAGACAGAGATGAGTATCCTTATATACCAATACAGACAGCGCAGACACTGCTCCACTTTTTATATGGGGAGATGAACCAGAAAGATATCCCATTACCTGTATATTAAGAGTACAAGTCACTAATACATTCCACAAATACATGTTATCAATTCCAATTATTAGATCATACAGTGTAAGCTTTTTTTGCACAGAAGTTCATCCAAACACACAGTACATGTTTGGGAAAGATTAATTCTAAGAAAATAATTGCTTTTTTCTTCCCAAAAGCTTGGAAGCAGCAATATATATATAGGGACGGGATCATTTGATACTAGTCCAATTATTATATCATACAATGTAAGCTTTTTTTGCACATAAGTTCATCCAAACACAGTGCATGTTTGGGAAAGATTAATTCTAAGAAAATAATTGCTTTTTTCTTCCCAAAAGCTCCCACCGGAAGCAGCAATATATATAGAGACGGGATCATTTGATTACTAGCGTCAAATTTTTCTGAACCGTTAATTTCTGTCAATCTAATGACTGTAATTTATTGGGTTTAGGTTAATTAATTACCTCCGTCAGATTGGGAGAAACCAATGGTTCAAATGGAGTGTCAAATGATCGTGCCTTATATATATATATATATATATATAATATATATATATATATATATATTTTATTTGCTCAAAATAAGCTATTCCAAACATGAACTTAGTGTGGACACTACATTGGTTGCATAAATTGGCTTAAAAGAAAACAGGAAAAATGCATAACAATTGTGAGAAGTTCGAAATATGTGGTTGAGTAATGTCCCACAACCATACATTTAGCAACAGCATAGTACGTCAAATCTACTCAAATTAGTATTTTCTCATAAATAAATTTAAAATCATAAATGGACTTACCATTCGAACTAGCTTGTGATATGGTTCAATGGGACCAACACATGATGAGTCTCTCAAGCTAGAACTTACATTTAAGAGTAAATCATAAGCTTCTTTCCTAGCTTCATCATTTTCCTACACAGTACAATTGGATATAAATTAGTATAGCTACCATTCCAAATTGATTCGATGCATGACAGACCAATCTAAATCAATGAACTCAAGCCTTTAATTGATAAAAACCGAAGTGTAACTAATTGATACTTACATCTTTTAATGCGAGAATGATTTCATTGAGGATAAGAAATGCCTTTGAGTTCTCCTCCTCTTCTAAACTAATCTGCAGAATGCATATAAGTTAAAGACCACTTGATGGAGAACAAATTCACAAATTAAGTGTAAATGAAATGCTCACCCTCCCACACTCCTTCAAAGAACAAAAAATAGAAAGAACATGGAAATAACTTGGTTGTGAACTGCCTCCAAACAAAACTAGCAAGAAACTTCAATACACAGGAATATGACCCAGGCTTTTAGAAAGACAATATCTAAAAAAATGTGAATATACAACAAAAGTGGCACATTCATTTGGTCAGCCCAGTTCCACGGTTACTTCAATAACCAGAAAGTCAAACAAACTACACAATTTCTTAAGAAACATGAAATCACATAACAGTTTATAGTGAGAACATGTGTGAGAACCTAAATTCTGAAAGCCTACTTCATAAATGTGAAAACAAGCAAAGAAGCCATGCTTCAACACTGCTACTCTGTGACAATAACTTTAATATTACTAGTTTATTTATTCAAAAAGTATAAGGTGCTCATGAGAAGAATTTTAAATCACTATTAATAGAAAAAATTTAAAAACGAAAATTGAAAAGTATATTATCACAATAATCAAGACACCAAGTTAAATCTTGAATGTGAAGCTATAATTAAATTAGGTCCGAGCTAGTTTGTCAGGCTAGCTATCCAGCTTTGGATAATTTAGATACAGAAATAGTTGAATATGATGCATACAGAATTAGCAGTAGAAGGAGTTGAATGCTGCAAGCGAATTTATGCACCAAATAAGCATGATTGTCATAAATATAATAACCCGAACCAGTAAAATGAGTAATCAGGAATTATTCCATAATTATAAGAGTGTAATTGGGTTAAAAATCTAATAATGAAATTGATGGAACCAGTGACACAAAATTGACGCTGCTAATATATTGATATTAAGGGACAAGCCCGTTCATACAAACACCAATGCTACTCACGATGCAAATGAAACAATACACAATTGATAAACTTCTACAGACTCATTGACACACTTTAATGCAAAACAATTACAAGAAAGTAGAAATATTCAGCTGTAAAGATAATGCTGACTTCCCTTAATGAGGAAAAGAACCCCACTCCTCATCAAGCTACACTACGCTCAAATATGGCTTACTTCCTAACTGCCTCCCATTTTCCTTCCTTTTCTTATTTAATCACTAATATCGTTTCCACACCTCCTCCCACTGTGTCTTCTCCATTCAGTGCATTCCACGTGTCACCTTTTATAACAAACTCACTTGCCAAGCTTTTCTTCTCAACGGCCATCAATACTTGATTCACCATGCCTTGACCCACTTCAGATACTGCATTGGGATGATCACCTTGGGCTTTATGTGTTTTCTTCTTCTTCTTACACTCATAAACCCATTTTAGGGGTCCAACAATACCTCCCCCTCCAACTTTCACCTTGTCCTCAAGGTGAAAATTTGGGAATAGTTCCTGCATTTCCTCCATGTCTTCCCACGACCACTCACAATTTGGCAAATTTGCCCATTCGACCAGCACTTCAATCTTCCCATTTAATAACTTTCGAGCATCTCTGACTGCAAAGGGTTGAACTTGCAATTCCATAGATTCAGTCAGACAATTAGGAAGTGGCAACAATGGCACATCTGGACTAACAGCCCTCTTTAATTGAGAAACATGAAAGACCGAGTGGATACGTGCATAATTAGGGAGCTTCAATCTATAAGCAGCTGGTCCAATTTTTTCTACAATTTCAAATGGTCCAGAGAATCTGGGACTAAGCTTCTGGTTGAGGTGTTTAGCTAAAGATCTCAACTTGTAAGGCTGGATTTTTAAGTAAACCTTATCTCCAGCATTATAGGTAACTTCTCTTCTACCCTTATCCGCTTGCAACTTTATTCATTCTTGGGCTCTACATAAGTTCTGTTTTAGCTCCAGCAATACTGCATCTCTAGCCATTATCCACTGGTCAACTGCTGCCACAAAAATTGATTGTTTATCAAATTGAATAATCTTTGAAGGGTGTCATCTGTGTGGACCTGTTATAAGAGCTATTAAACCAAAATTCAGCCCAACGAATCCATTTTGCCCAACTCCTAGGATGACTACTAGCAAAACACCTCAAATAAGTCTCCAAGGTGCAGTTCACCACCTCCGTTTGCCCATCCGTTTGGGGATGGTATGCTGAGCTGAATTTAAGCTGAGTTCCCGCAGCTCAAAATAATGCTCCCCAAAATTTACTGAGAAATAACCTATCCCTATCCGAAAATATGGATTTAGGGAACCCATGTAACCTGATAATTTCTCTCACAAACAGACCAGCCACCTCTTCAGCAGTAAAAGGATGTGTGAGTGTAATGAAATGGGCATACTTGGTTAAACGGTCTACCACCACCAAAATAGTATCCACCCCTTTGAACCTAGGCATTCCAGCTATGAAATCCATAGATAAGTCTTCCCAAACCTGATCCGGAATAGGTAAGGGGTTCAGTAAACCAGCTGGCAATAGGTTTTGATACTTTTGTTGTTGGCACACTCCACAATTTTAAACAAACTTTATGATATCACCACGCATTCCCTTCCAATACAGCAGGGTAGAAATGCGTTTGTAAGTTCTTATTTCCCCTGAATGTCGCCCCCAAGGAGACGAATGAAACTCTTCAAGAATAGTAGGAATGAAAGTAGAGGTGCGAGGAAGAACCAACCTGTCTTTGTACCACAAACATCCCTTAGCTACATGATACCCCGAATGAGAAGAGCCATTATTAATGACTTCAGTCATCATTTTCCTAATTCCAGCATCGTCCAAAGCCTCCTCGGATAATTTCTGCAGATCTGAGCTCACAGGAGTTGACACCACCTTACATTCCATCATATGGGACAACACATCCGCAGCCTTGTTTTCTAACCCTGGTTTATACTGAATCTCGAAATCAAACCCCATTAGTTTTGCCACCCATTTTTGTTGTCCATCTATCAGCACTCTCTGTTCGGTTAATATTTTAAGCTTCTCTGATCTGTCTTGACAATGAAATGACGACCCAATAGATAATGTCGCCACTTTTGTACTGAAAATACAATTGCTTTGAGTTCCTTTTCATTTACAGACAACACCTTATCCCTTTCAGAAAATGCCTAACTAAAATAGGCAATTGGTCGACCATTTTGCATAAGTACCGCTCCCATTCCCACTCCAGAAGCATCGGTCTCCACTACAAACACCTCCCCAAAATTTGGTAAAGCCAACTCTGGCAAAGACATCATAATTGCCTTCAACTCATCAAAAGCCTTTTGAGCAGCATCATCCCAAACAAATCTATCCTTTTTAAGCAGCCTAGTCAGGGAGCTAGCTATGTGACCGTAGTTCTTCACAAAAGTCTATAGTATCCGGTAAGACCAAAAAAACCCCTTAACCCCTTCAAATTCACTGGAACAAGCCATTTTTGTATAGCTGCCACCTCATAAGAGTCAGCCTTTACCCTTGACCCAGAGATAACATGCCCCAAATTCTCCAATTCCTTCAGTCCAAAACTACATTTCTTCCAGTTGGCAGCTGTTGAGATATATAGTCCCACATTGGTTGTATGTGCAACTAATGTGACCTTTATAAGGCCTTGGGCACTCCCACCCTTTGAGCTAGCTTTTGGAGTGGTGACCTCAAGGTTCTTTACATGGTATCAGAGCCTCGCCGCCCCCCACTTTCTGTCGTGGCGTTTCTTAGCACAGGTAGGCTGGGTCTGTTGCATTGTCCACTCTTCAAGCCCAATGGGCTCTCGTGTGAGGGGGCGTGTTGAGATATATAGTCCCACATTGGTTGTATGTGCAACTAATGTGGCCTTTATAAGGCCTTGGGCACTCCTACCCTTTGAGCTAGCTTTTGGGGTGGTGACCTCAAGGTTCTTTACAGTAGCAAGACAATTCTGCCTCAGTACTTCCATCACTTGACATAATTGAGTCCAATGAGATGATTCATCCTTGCTGTAAATAAGGATGTCATCAAAAAAAGACAAGAACGAACTTGCGTAATAATGGTTTAAACACCTCATTCATCAAGGACAGGAATGTAAAGGGGGCGTTGCGCAAACTAAAAGACATCACAAGGTACTCATAGTGACCCTCATGAGTCCTAAAGGTTGTCTTCTCAATATCTTCCTCCCGCATTCTGATCTGATTATAACCAGACTTTAAATCCAGCTTAGAAAAAATGAAAGCTCCTTCTAACTCATCCAACAACTCGTCTATCACTGGTAATGGGAACTTATCTGGGATGGTCACCCTATTTAATGCCCTGTAATCAACGCAAAACCTCCAACTCCCGTCCCTTTTCTTGTCTAAGATCATGGGACTAGAAAAAGGACTAGTACTGGGTCGGATCCACCCCACCAATAGCATTTCCCTCACAAACTTCTCCAATTCTTCTTTCTGATAGTAGGGGTAACGATATGGTTTTAAATTAAGGACACTAGCTCCCTCTTTCAGAATTATCCGATGGTCACAGGCCCCCTCTCAAAGGGTAGCCCAGATGGTTCCCTAAACACCTCTGGGAACTGCTTCAGGACTTTAGAAGCCAACTCTTCAGAATTTTCAACAGTCCCCTCATTTATTCCCACATACCTCAGCTCCACGTAATAATTTTCCACTCCCTTTTTTTCATAGTCTTAGTCAATATTTTATAAGAAATGAGACCCCTGGACAGATGTGGATCTCCACGAAGCTGAACAATCCCTTCTCCATTTGGCACCCGCAAGGATAGCTCTCGAAAGTTAGCCCTTATTTCCCCCAATCCCTCCAACCATGCATAACCCAGAATCACATCTTCTCCCTCCAAGTAAAAAATGAAAAAATCTTGAGATACTGACATACCTGAGAGATTCAGTTTCACTCCTTTGCATGTTCCCAAACAACGGACTTGGTTTCCATCTCCCACCGCAATTGTAGGGGATTCTGCTGTGTTCACTTGAAGATTCACCTCGGTTGGAACATGCGGAGCCAAGAAATTATGTGATGCCCCTGTGTCAATCAAAACCACGACTCTCCTGCCCT